TCCTACGGCGCACACTCAAAAGCTTCACGCACCTACGCAGCCAACCTCTGAAAACCAAACCCAGAACCAACCCTAAAGCCAAGGCACTGCTTCCTTTCCATGAAGACCTGGGCACAGAGGGACAGTGTGCAGACCCATTCGCGGCAGGCAGGCTGCACTCACAGTCACCTACCAAGCACTCAAACGCTCCTACCCTACCTCCTAATGCACACAACCAGTCTCCTACTGCAAACAGCAGGGCTTTCAGACCTACTCCTACCAATTTTGTGCATTGCAGCGAAGATCGGAGCAACTCATGCCCGGCTTTTAGGCCCTCAGGGCCCATACCCAAGCATATCAATCCATCTCGGAGCCCGAGTTTCCCACATCCGAATTGTCCATCGGTGGATTTGGAACCACCATACTCGTCTCTGCCGGCGGGGTCAAAGGAGAAGCGCTCCCCGGACTTCCAATCCCACCGACCATTGGCTCCCTTGGGACCTCGGAACTCACGTCCATAGGGGTCCCAGGGGCACCGAATGCCTCCACGGGCGTCATCGGCATCTCGACCTCCATTGGAACCTCGCCCGCAAGCTCCCTCAATGTATCTGGGTGCGGTGTCGATGGAGGAGGTAGAGGAGGCGGAGGTATAGGCAGGCTTGCTTCCATAGGCGTGCCTGGTGCCCAAGATGGAGGAGGTAGAGGAGGCGGAGTTAGAGGCATGCCTGCTTCCATAGGCGTGCCTGGTGCCGAAGATGGAGCATAGGAAAAGACGGACGGCGTAAGCGGGGAAGGAGGGCTGAACGGCAAGAAAGCCGGAGGCCCTGGTGGAAAAGCGGGGCCCGTCGACGATGATGGAGCCACCTCGGCTGTTGCAGCTCTCTTCATGTCGGCATGCAATCGAATCATTGCCTCGGCTTTTGCACGCGCTTGGTTGAGCAAAGCCCACCCCGAAGGAGGTGGAGCTGGGGCACTTTTGTGAAGAGGCGGTGCCGTGCCACCCGACGCGGATGGTGCAACATCCGGTATTATAGTTGGCGGTTGAGCAGCCAAGGTCACCCGGCGGTTGCTCTGGACGAGCACGTCCGCCAAAAGCGCTCTCAAGTCGGCAGCCGGCACACGCTCGACCTTGAGCTCGTTTGGCAGAATGCTTGCTAGCCCTGCCTCGAACAACTGGTATTGAGCAGGATGGCACCGCAACTCTCGAATCGCCTCCAGGTACAGAAGGAATTTCTTCAAGGTGAGCTGGATGCCAACCTGATTGTTGCGCCAGTACCCCCTTTGCTCGCATGGAAGGTGCGGTTGGCGGATGGTAGCAGTCACATCGGCGACTACCACCCCCATGGTGGTCAAAACATAGCCATACCTTGCATACTCTGCACGACGGTCGTGCTCTTCGACGAGGGTGTCCGTCAAAACCGACTGGTCCACCGTCGGAGCAGCAATGGCTCGCAGCTCGGCAATGAGCATAGGTTGCTTCACCGCAATGCCGCTTGTATTGATCACCAACTCCTGTGTCTCCAACTCCCCAAGGCAGGCTGGAATCCCCAACAGCCGTTCGACCGAGCCAGGGGTCGAGGTAAAAAGGTCGATGTTTTGGAGAAGCTGCCTCGAAAGAGACAGCTGACCTTCCTCCTCGAAACGGTGCGCAAGACGAGCAATCATGCTCGTCGAAAAGGCTTCCACCTGGGCCACACTCCCACTTTGGGAGTTCACAAGACAGAGCGGAGGCGAGGCTTCCGGAAGCTCCATCCTTTCCAAGGTCCCTTACAAAGGCTCCAGGCTTTGAGCAAAACACTCCTAGAGCACACAACACCAGCAATGCTTTCAGAAACACTCCTGGCCAACGCAAAATCCGAAAGGCACACTTCCTCTCTTCCCTCTGTCCCAACAAACACTCAGGCACACAAGCGCTGGGGTGCAAGTCACTCCTACGTCCTACACGCAAGACACTCCTACTCCTAATGCAAACACTCTGAGGCTGGAGCGGCACAGGCCCTACCCCTACGCACTCAAAACCCTTGTCTCCACAGCGTGTGTCCCTACTGGTTTGGTTCTCCAAAGACGTGTTGCTTGCAGACTTAAGCAAAACAGCTGCGGCGGAACATAAAGCTTCAGCACAACATGCAGAGGGTGGGGTTTCCAGGTCTACTCCTACTTTCGCAACTGCAGCATGCTCACATCCACTCAAACGCTCCTGAAAAACATGCTCATGCAGCTCATGTTCCCCCACATGTTGCTTCACTGAAAATGCTCGCAACAAAAACTTAAAAGGCGTCACCTCCAATGCTCTTCCTACGTTGGGCGGTGCCTTCTTCTGCACCTTATCCACTTCCATCGCGTCGTCGTTCGGGCTCCACCCCGGCTTGGGTGAGTCCCCTTTGCTTCTTCTTCCTTTCGGCTTTGCCTTGGTAGGGCCAATCTCCTTAGCCAACGCCCACCAGCTCCTGGCTTCACGAACCAAAGGCACCCACATCGAGGAACCTCGTTCCGTCTGCTTCACCAAGCAGCTTGCTCCAGGCTCTGAGGTGAGCCAGGTACTCCATCCCGAAAGGGATGCTTGCCAAGAACTGACTACGTTGAAACCAATCTTGCAAACCAAGACCTGTTGAAGCACTACGGGCCCCAACTTCCCAAACTTCACCCGAATGTCAACCAACTTGACACATTCCATGGGCGTATCGCTAGCACTCATGAGCACAGGAAGAGGTCCCGAATGCTCCTTGACGACTTCGTAAAAACCCAACGCACTCTCTGACAACACGTGGCAGGTGGCTCCACTATCAATGAGCCATGCGAAAGAGCTATTCCTAGAGGATGACTGGTTCAGTCTCTCGATCTCTCCGTTCGTCATGGTGAGACGAGGGGGCTCAGCTTCATTGGGCTCATTAGTTCTTGTCCCCGGACCCAAGCCACTCAGATGATGAGACCGCATTGCCATCACCTGATCAGACTGCTCGTCTTCCACAGCTCGGCCCTTGGGCTTTCCTTTGTTCTTGGGCTTCCCCTTGGGCTTTCCACCCTTTCCTTTGTCTGTCTTCCCTTTGCCTTTGCCCTTCCCTTTAGGGCTCTTCTCTCGATTCTTGGAACCAGAAGGCTTTCCACCTTTCGGTTCATCCCTCTTCTTCCCTTTGCCAGAGCTCTTGTCGGGGCACTGCCAACTCATATGGCCTGATTTGCCACAGTTCCAGCAGAGGCCGCGCTCCCCAACTGCATTCAGCGAACCAGCATCACACAATCAGGTTTGCTCCTCGTAGAACCGGATGCTTTCAACCAGTTCCTCCCAGCTCCCAGACTTTCCATGCAGGACAACGTAATGCCTACACTCTGGGCTGACAGATTGAAGAAGAAGGGTTGAACGATCAGATGCTCCAAGCCTCAGTTCAGGGAACCGATGCAGCTTCTGGTCTACCTTCCCAAGCTCGTCCTCAAGGAAGCGGACGCAGTCAAGCGGTCGCTTGTACGAACTCGCCTTCGAAGTTAGGCGAAGGGCTTCATCTCTCACAGCAATGGCCTCCATGCGAGAGACAATGCTGAAGGTCTGGTGCATTTGACGCATCACCTCATAACCACAAGCAGCTTGTCCTTGACGCATCGACGTGCTTCTCACCAGTTCCATCCCACGTTCGAACTTCTGCAGACTTTGTTGCAGGTAGTAAAACAACCTTGCCGAACGCGATGCTACCGGAACTGCCATGTCAGACTGCTTGATCTCACGGTCATGCGTCATTGCCTGGCGCAACTCATTGACATAGTTGTCGTCTATCAACGCCAGCCAGGAAGCAAGCACCTCGCACCACCGATGGTACTCCTCCAGCTCTCTCACACGCCCTTTTCCCATCGACACATTATCGATGAGCGGCAATGCTGGCAGATACTTCTCTGCACGGTTACTTCCAACATGCAGGTTCTGTGATGGTGCCGGTGGAGGAGCAGAAGCCTTTGCCGTGGGACTTCCAGCAGCTGCTGCACTTGAAGCACCCCCAAATGGGTTGCTCACAGCTGCAGACAATGCTTCCTGCTCACGTCTCCTTCTCTCGTCGGCCTCCATCTTTGCCACCAGAACTTGAAGTCTTTAGGATTTACAAAACTGTCGACATCTGAATGTATAAAGGAAGAGGTTCATAAAGAATAGACAGTATGTAAAAATTGCGAACCCTTCCCAACACGCTCAGATTCCAATCCTTTGGCGTCACTGCGAGTTGCCTCGGATCAGGGGAACTTTCAAAAGGTAAGGCTGGGCACAAGGGCTCATGGGACATAAAGCTCCCTGCCCTTCGACGGACCCTGCCAAAGAGTCCAGGGACCATACGGAGATTGTACTCACTGCCCTCAACGGACCCGTCATCTCCCCCCGGGTGGGTGGGTGGGAAAAATTGACAAATGTGCTCAAGAGTTCGCTAAAGAACGGCCTGCAAATGTGATAATGAAGCACATGTGCCATGTATGCAAACGACCACGAACCTCTGTTTGAGCAGGGCTGAGCGCGGCACAAGCACTTTGCATTTTGCACAAGAGAAGAATTCAAGCAGCTGTGCCTACTGCGAAGCCCCGAAAAACCACATGAAAAACGTCTGCATAAATCATGCCCATGCAAGATCTGCAAACACACGTGGTAGAAAACTCAGAAACTTTAAAGACAGTTTTGCGTTGCCCCTTCTTCAAAAGGGGGAAGGGGCACCTATAAATCAAAGACCACTCTATCCGCAAGCGGAGCGCGTAGTCTTTAGGATTTACAAAACTGTCGACATCTGAATGTATAAAGGAAGAGGTTCATAAAGAATAGACAGTATGTAAAAATTGCGAACCCTTCCCAACACGCTCAGATTCCAATCCTTTGGCGTCACTGCGAGTTGCCTCGGATCAGGGGAACTTTCAAAAGGTAAGGCTGGGCACAAGGGCTCATGGGACATAAAGCTCCCTGCCCTTCGACGGACCCTGCCAAAGAGTCCAGGGACCATACGGAGATTGTACTCACTGCCCTCAACGGACCCGTCATCTCCCCCCTCAAACGTCCGGGCTCAAAGGAAAGGCAGTGTCCAAAGGTTTCCGCTCGAGGACGAGAGGAGGTCCCAGGGAAGGTCGCTCAGGTCCATGCACTCATCTGCTAGAAGCTGCGCAGCCTGAGAGAAGTCGACGACCCGACCTCCAATCATCTGCGCTGCCAACGCAGCTTCCCCCCTGCTAGGGAGGTCGGCCACGTTGCTTGCAGAAGGAACGCGCTCAATCCAAGACACGATGCCGCCAGCCGACTCGCTGGCGTAGAAGAGGCATGCCAAGTTCAGTAGAGAACGAGAGGGGCTGCTGGCCTTAATGCAAGTGTACCTGGCGGCGTCATTGTCCACGTAAAAGATGCACCTCTTCCCGGCCAGTTCCGAGGCGCAGGCCCGCCTCGAGAGAACCAGCGCGTAGGCCTCCGCCTGAGAGATGACCTGCTCGATGCCCTCTGCCAGCCAGAAGTCCACAAGCTTGGGCGGGATCTCGCCCGCTGCCACCCATCTTCTATTGGAGCTCTGGTCCAGCAGAACTATCCCCCAGCGGGCGACGCCTTTCTCGTAGGATGCGTCAGTGAAGATGGAGACCGGGCTCCCCTGCGCCCGGAGTGAGAAGGTCCTCGGACGTGCATCAGAGAGTGTCTTCAGGATGAAGCGCCCCAGCGATTTCACCTCTTCCACGGAGGGAGAGCGGTTCATGTAGCAGATGTTGGCCAGGGCCCTGCAGGCTATCTTCATGGCTCGTCCAGCCGCGAAGCCCACCATGAAGTTCAGTTGGCCGTGCAGGGAGGCTGCTTCCCTGCGAGTGACGCAGCCTGAGGATGCCATCCTTGAAGCCTGGACTCGGATCTTCTCAACGCGGCTAGGCTTGTTTGCCAAGGCCACCTGACCAGCGAGAAGCTCCCCAACACTGAGTCGCATGCCAAGCAGGTCAAAGGTCTCTTCGAAGGGGCGGCCCTTGTCATCACCCACTGCGTACGACCAACCCAGGGCATCCAGAAGGCACTCGATGGCGAGGGAGCCCATCCTTGCAGTGGGGGCCGGCTCAAGCAAAGGGAAGTCGTCAAAATAGACCCCGCCGATCATGCCGGCGAGATGCAGGGCCAGGTGCAGCAACGACCTAGAAACCCTATTGAAACCGTAAACCGCCGCGCAGCATCCGAAGGGGAGGCTCCTGGAGATGAAGTATTTCCACGAGCCCGACCCAGGTTCCCAAACCATCAAGACTGCGAAGACGAGGTCTTTGGCCATAACCGGGATCTGCTTATAGGCCTTCTCCAGGTCCAAGCAACGCCCCAGCCACTTGACCCCCCCCAGAAGATCACCATGTGTACGCCCCACGAGCGTCGAGCCATCCGACAGCCCTACCCTGGTGAAGCCGTCGTCATGAGCAGCGTTCGCCACGAGACAGCAGAGGTTGACTAGGTAGTCGACGTCATGCAACTGAAGTAGGTCCACAGCATGGTAGGCCGTGTTAACCCCGCTCTCTTTGTAGTCATCTATGGGCCTGCATTTCTCAGAATCCCCGGAGCCCTGGCGAACACCAAAACGCCTGCTGCAGCAAACCTCTTCTGCGCCCAGGGTTGCCTTGACGTCTTCGAGGGACTCGTAGGGGCCAATGAGGTAGCCTTTCTCCACCTCCTTCTCAGTGGCCAGCCAGACCTTGTGCAGGAGATCAGCATCATCTCCCACAGCCCCTTTTCCCGAAAGCATCTTGTTCCGCCAAACTGAGGAAGCGAGGAGGTCCTCCCTAGTGCAAGTTGCGGGGATCTCTTTCCAGTCGTAGAGCGGCGACTTCGTTGGCCTTCCTATCAAGGGGACCCCCTCCATGAGCTCCTGGGCGTCCAGGTCGGGGAAGCCTGTCTCCACGAGCAGCTTGCGCCAAAGAAGGATGTTCTTGCCCTTTAGGACCGCCTGGGCATGTGGAGGAAGTGAAGCCTGGTAGCGCCGCTCCTCCACCGCCAGCTCCTTTTTCATGGCGGCCAGACGTTTCTGCATAGACAGCCTCTTCCTGGCCGAAGGCATGAAGCCACCAGTGAACAGTTCAAAAATGTTCCTCTTGACCTGGTCGTCTATGGAGTCAGATGCATCAAAGGGGTGCGGTACCTGACAGGCCTTGGCCACAAACTCCTGCTTGGTATGCAGGACTGCAAAAGTTGAGCGGCTCCCGTCTCCTCCCCCCTCAGAAGAGAGCTCGCGAAACTCACCCTCAAGGGGGCGAACATGAGTGAAAAACTTGTACTCGGGCACCAGCGGAGGACGGCGGCGGGGCTGGCGGAGTAGAGGCCGCCTGGGGGCTGGTGCAGGCAGGCTCAGGCGGGCCCCAAGAAGAGAGACATACTGCAAGCACAGCTCAGCGGGATACTCGGCCTCCAGAGCGGTCTCAAACTGCCAGCCCCCCGCCTTGCGGTAGATCTGAAAGGGTGCATGTGTGTGCCGACCGTCACAGGGAGCCACGAGCCCTCTCAGTTCAGATGCGGAGGTGAGAAAGCGAGAAGCCTTTTTTCGATGGCCACCCCACATACACTGGTCAAAGTCAACATGGAACAAGCTTGCATACCAGCTCTGAAAAGCACGCTTCCCGGTCTGCCGAACAAACAAGGCGAGAACACTCCACATCCAGGAGTTCACCGGATTCTCTATGGTCACGGTCCAGCCTTTGGCATAGGCGTCCAGCAGCAGGGAAACAACGAAGCGGCAGAGTTCATTTGCCGCGTCAACTTTGGCTTGCTCGGCAGAGGAAAGGCCGGGAAGGCCCAGCAAGTATGTAGCATCGCGCAAGGGGCGAGGCTGCGGCGCGCCGGATCGCAAAAGATGAGCTGGGAGCTTGATCTCTCGAGCGCGGCTGCCAGTTCCGCACGGGAGGCCAAGGTGAATGCCCAAAAGGCGCCCAGAGAGAAGGCGCTCACGCAAAAGGCGCTGACAAAGGGGCACGGTGAGGTCGAGCGTCCAGACAGGATGCAAAGGCCTGTGCTGATTTCGGGGGCCGTCCACCGCCAACGCGGGCACACCAGCGGCTGCGAAAGTAGAGCTGAGACGAGCGCAACCAGCAAACAGCTCAACAAACGTCGGAGCTGCCAAGTTGCCCCCAGGCGGCTCCGGAGGGAAGGCGGCAACGCCGGGTGGGTCGGGGCCCGCGGGCAAGCAGGCCGCAGCGGGGGTGCACGGAGGGGAGGAGCTCGAGGGCGCGGGTGTGGCTGCTGAGGAGCCCGCGGACCAAGAGGTCTCAGCGGGGGTGCACATGGGGACTATACCCGGGGGAGGGGGCCTAAACCGAAAGGGAGGCGGCACCTCAGTTGGCGGCTCGGAGCAGGGGCGGCCAGAGGACTCCAAGTGACTGTTGTCAACGCCAGGGGAAGGGACCCTAAACCCCAAAGAACTAAGGGTCAAGGCTTCTGCTTTGGGCAGGCAATCGGAGCCACGCAGGCTGAAGGCAACGACGACCACGCGTGAGCCGGTCCATGGACATGTGCAATGAAGGCGCTCACGGGCGTTGAAGTAGACGCCCTGGGCCGTCACATCGAGCAAAATGCCCGACTTCGAGGATGCGGGATCAGCCTGAATCCAAACTTGGCCCCCTTCGAAGGCCGAAATGGCCACCGCGAAGTTCAAAGTAGCCCTTAAATTATTCTTATCCCGATGCAGTTCAGTACGCAGGTTCTGGAAAATTGCAATGTTGCTAAACACGAACTCCGGAGGAGTCTTTTCACAAATAAAAGAGCAAAATGTTCTAATTGCCTCTGGATACAAGGAGCACGAGCGACGCAGACCAGTTAACGCACCATGCACATACGCCCCCGCCTGGAAAACACGGCTCTGATCGGTGGAGCCGCTGCGAGGGGCCTCCTCACCCGGCAAAGAGTGGAAGACCTGGAGAAGGTGGGCCAAAGTCAGCGAAGTGCCTGTATCCGAGCTCGTGAGGGCTAGTCAGTTTGCCAGCGGGCAGGCAGTGTAGGAATGCGGCGCGAAACACTTCCAGCAGACGTGCAGGCCTCGACGGCAGCGTTTGCCTGGTTTAGCAAACTTGCAGCCCTTGCAGTTAAACCCGAAGCACACAGGCTTGCCCTCATGTTGAGAAGAACAGCCCGGCGGCAGCTCGAAGGGGGTGGAGGGACCTTTGCCACCCCCACCCGAGGTCTGGGCCCCCTTGCCCTTGGGAGGCTGCCCCTTCTTGCCACCAGCGGCACGGTCGGAGCGACCCTCAGGCGGCTCGTAGGGCTGGAAGCGGGCCGATTTCGGAGCCGGGATGAGGCAGAACTGGACCTGGGGGTGGCTCTTTAGGGCCTCGAGCTGCACCTGCAAAGGCTTAGAGCCATCTGGGCGAGCAGTCAAAGCACCACGAGTCTTCTCAGCTAGCCGGACGAAAAGCTGTTTGTCGGACTCGCGGACCTGGGCCATGGTGACGTAGAGACAGCCCTGCGGGGGGCTTCGAGTCAGCAAGAAGAAGAGCTCCTCGTGGTACAACTCCATGGCCGAGAAATCACACAAACGAGCGAGGTCGTACGCCAGAGCGCGCCTCTGAAGGGCCTGGCGGATTTGTAGTTCCCCGCTAAGCGTGCAGGAGCTCTCCTGCATCTTCTTGGTGAGGCGGAGATTTCCAGCAGCATCGAATTGAAGCCCGAGGTCACTGCGAGAGTGGGTAACCTCATGAGCCCTGCTAGTCAGACGCTCCCAGGGGATCCAAGAAAGTTGCTGATCAGCACCCTGCTGGAAAACAAGGTCCACGAGGCGATGAGACGGTTCGGACTCACTCGTGATGCAAACCCCCACGAGACGCTTCTTCTGCTCCTCCAGCCTCGTGGTCCTCTCGGCTATGGTCAGGCGAATAGGCTCAGCCGAGTCCTGACGCTCAACCTTTTGCTTGAGCTCACCCATGACGGTTGTGCTAGCCTCGAACCACAAGCGTCGAAGCGGGATGAGCTCCCGCGTAGTGACATCCCGCCGGATGAGATCCCGGACAGCATCAATCAGGGGCTTCTCATCAGCTTGGCCGATCTGGTACGGGCTGACGAAAGCCAGCGCACCCAGGGACTTCACATTGGCCTTGATCAACAAGTCTAAGAAGCCCTTCTCCATGCCAAGCTCGAGGGCCCGGGCCGTGAAGGTCGCCTCGCTGTCAATGGCAGAATTCATGGCGAACCAAGAAAGGAACTACCACGCGGGGCACAGCTGCAGGCCGGCGCTGACAAGAAACTCAAGCTAGGCATGCTCGAAGACAGGCCTGAGGCTTTACGCTCATGGGCACCAGACGCTCCGCTCCACGCCCGAAGGTCAGCGGGACTGTGCCAGTATAATTAGATCACACATATGGCAGAAAGTGATCTTCGCCTCTTTAGTCTGCACCACACCGGGCACCAAACGCACCGCTCCACGCCCGAAGGTCAGCGGGACTGTGCCATGCTTCACATGCAGCAACCCCCCCCCCCCGGCCCAGCTCAACGCCCGAAGGTCAGCTGGGAGGGGGGGGAATGGAGGCATCCAGCTTCAAGTGGAGTATACTGGAGACAACCACTTTCCGACGAAGCACATCCGGTCAGGCCCCCTTTCGGGCTGCACACTGAGCGCACACAGGCAAGTCACAAAGGGGTACACTGACATCAATCGGCGAATAGTTCTGCGAGCAACTCCTACCACAAAGAAAACGATTGCCGTCCAAAACATGCACCACACGGGAAAATACGTGCATACGACAATCAGCTGTGGCATCAAGCTCTGCAGCGCTCATGGGCTCACGAGTTGAAATGACCCCTGTGTTCGCGGCCATGTCCCTCTCATCGAAGTCATCGTCCTCCTCATCGGACTCCGGCACGCCCGGGTCGCCCTGCACCACGTTCTCAGCCAGGGCATCGCCCCCACAATCGGAGGAGATGAGCTTGGCTAAGCGCCAGACCTTCGTGTCGTCTGGACGGAAGTGGCCCTTGCAGATTCTCTCCACGAGGCGATGTACAACCCTCATGAGGCGGGTTTGTTCATCCCGCGCATATGTCAAAGGGGACGCCACGCCTGGATCGACGTGATGCCCTAACAGGCGGCGGTCACTCAGGGGCACTTCAGCTGATTTGGCGGCCCACGACAGGACTGTCGTCTTGAGGGAGTGGGAGCCAACACCATCATATGGTTGAGATGCAGCAGACAAAAACTCTCTCAAGTATAAGGTCGCCTCGCCCGTCGACATAGGCCGCTGCAGCCACTCGCCAGTCGCCTCGGAATAAGCCGGAAGTGCAGGATCTAGACCAAAGCCCAGCTTCTCTCTCAGAGCCATCCTTTCGACGGCCCACGGAGCATCTGCGAAAAACTTCCCAAGAGAAGCGAGGGGAAGCAGCTGAGCACGCCGGGAGGCAGCATTTCCGGTCTTCCATTTTGAGCTTTCAGCCTCGACCAAGGTGAAGCCCTGCGCCGTTTCAACCTTGAGGACTGCCAGGCAAATTGAGTCCCCAAAGCGGCTGCTGGACCCTACACACAGAAGAAGGTGGCCAGCGATGATCTTCCAGTGAATGTAGGGCGCCTTGAGGACGACGTATTCCAGGGCTTTGACCTGCTTCACAGTCAAGGGTCGGGCTTGCACCAGTTTGCGCTTCTTCGAGTACATCCGTTGGGCTGCACCCTTAACCCTTGCTGACAGCGCCCCCAGCGACCTGGGACGGTTCAACTTGAGGGTGTGAAGCGCAAAGTTCCAAGCCTGGAGAAATGAGGAGCCCGTGGTTGGCTTTCCGTGCTCTTCGAGGTGGAACATGTACTGGTACAGAGCATGCTCCGAGACCTCAAGCGGGTTCCCGAAGCCACCGTCGATGCAGAAGTTGGCGAAGCGCCACAAGGAAGAAGCCCTTTTCACCAGTGTAGAAGTGCTTTTCCCCTCGAAGACATCGGAAAAGGCTCGCTGTAAGAAACTGTTGTCCCTTAGCAAAGACGCCTCAGCCGCCAACACCTGCCCAACTTGAGTCGCCGAAGGGTCCAGAAGCACCAGCACTTGAAGTTTGCGAAGGGCCTCCCATCTCGAAGTGTCCTGGGTGACCAGTAGAGATGCAACACGGAGCCTCCTTTTGGCAAAATCTGGGATTGGCTGATGGATCACGAGGGGAGCCTTCTCTGTCCCATGCTTTTCCAGGGGGGATGCAGCGAAGTCCTTTGGTAAGCTGATGCGAGATCTTTTGGCCGGCTCTCCAAAGACCCAAGTCAAGGGGCCCCTCTCCCATGGCAAGAGGGGCGGTAAGACTCGGGCTTCTTGAAGGTGTGCGTGCCAAGAGAACTCTGAAACACTGATGGAGGTGGCATCCAAAACTGCTGGCGTCTCGGCCGCCACCAGTCGCGAATGAAAGTCAGACGGATCTGCCAGAGCATCGCTGAGGGACGCTGGCCCAGTCTCTCCCCCTTCCGAATGGCCAGGGAGGCCCGAAGCACTAGAGGAAGAAGCCATCAGGGCAGCCTGTTCAGAAGCCAGTGGGCAAGCGGTTGATGACAACGCGGAAGAGCTGTCCCAAGCGACTGATGAAGCCGTGCAAGAAGGCGTTGACGGACGCCAGTCGAGTAGAAACCACTTCCACGTCCTGCTCAAGATCAGCACAGCGAGACTGCAGGGCAGCGACAGTTCGCTCGAGATTCTGCACGCGGCGGGCCAGGTCCTCGCGGGCCACACGCTCGCCCTCAATCTCACGTTCCAGCTCGAGGACAACGGACTCGACACTGAAAGGTTCAGAGCAGGAAGAAAAGTCGGCGTCCTCGACCGCAACCTCCACAAGAGTGTCCGAGCCGTCGCCCATGGAGGGAAAAAATTGACAAATGTGCTCAAGAGTTCGCTAAAGAACGGCCTGCAAATGTGATAATGAAGCACATGTGCCATGTATGCAAACGACCACGAACCTCTGTTTGAGCAGGGCTGAGCGCGGCACAAGCACTTTGCATTTTGCACAAGAGAAGAATTCAAGCAGCTGTGCCTACTGCGAAGCCCCGAAAAACCACATGAAAAACGTCTGCATAAATCATGCCCATGCAAGATCTGCAAACACACGTGGTAGAAAACTCAGAAACTTTAAAGACAGTTTTGCGTTGCCCCTTCTTCAAAAAGGGGGAAGGGGCACCTATAAATCAAAGACCACTCTATCCGCAAGCGGAGCGCGTAGTGTCTGTTGCTGATTCTGCATCATCATTTGCTGACTCTGCATCATCTGGACCATCATCTGCTGGAGTTGAGGGTCAAGTCCGACGACCGTGGCGGGTCCTCCCGCTGAAGCAGAAGCTCCAGGGGATTGTGTTGGCGGTTGGTGCCCGTCCTGGGCACCACCGGGGCCAAACAAAGCTTCGTCGTCTTCGTCTTCAGGCACAGGGGTCGACAGCCCGGGGTCAGCCATGGCTTCTAGTTTCTACGAGCGTGCTACACACGCTCCGCTACCATGTGAAAACACAGCAGCAGCGCGCTGAACCCTATTTTTCTCACGACTTGAGCCAAAGTCATAAGCCGGAGGCTTCGTCAGTGAAACTCTTTACACACAGGTGAAAACTCTGCTCTGCCACGTGTTCTCCACAGCCACAAAACAAACTCAAACGTCAGTGGGAGTTCTCGGGACCTACCCAACTACACCTAAAGCAAGCAAAAACGTGCACAGTCACTTCTACAGCTTCCAGACACACATCCCTACAACTCAAGCAATTCAAAAGGCTTTCCCACTTAAAGCAGCACTCCCGTCGAGCCTCCAAGGCACAACTACGGAGTTCCTACAACTACACACACACAACTCTGAGCCAGCATGCAGGACAACAAAGTTAACATGTCCTTAGACAGGAACTTTCACAAAAAATGAAACGGGAGGAGCTTGATCAGCAAGGTGTTATTGAAACCCCGAGGGGTAAGAGAAGTTCTTGGAGATTCGCACCAGCCATGCATAATCCGAAATGCATGCCAGAAAAGCTTCTGAAACAGAGAATCATGTTTATAAAAGCCGGGGTCCATGATGATAGAGAAGCAGCCGTGCATCAATTGCAAACTGCTTTACCGAATCTGAGACCGAAGGTGACCGATGTTCATGCAAAACGAAAAGGGCTACCTCCACGTATATCAACGCCTTTTCTGCCTTCGCACTTGGCGAATACGTGCAGCCGGTTTGCCGTCGTGCTGGTCCTGCCGTCCGACCACCAATGTTTCACCCAACGCTGCCCCGGAAGGAGAATGAGTCCGGGGGGGGTGGGTCCTTGGAACGGGATTCCGTCCTCGCACCAACCACCTGCGGAACAGATTCCCAACGGGGCAGCAACCAGTCAGGGATGATGGGTTGGATGGGAAAGAGGAAGGCTTGGATTCAATTCTTTTTTATCCCGAGCGAATTCTACTGGCCACTCAGGTGTCTGTTTGCATTACGTCATGTTGCCATCGACTGCCGGGTCCGATTGCGACAACACCATTCTTTGCACATTTTACTGGCCAATGAGATCTCGAACTCATTCGTTCAATGTGTCTGTTATGTTTCCACTTCCTAATCGAGCGTGTTTTCTACTGGCCACCAAGTGCTTGGCCGGTCTTAGCAAAATTCATCCAAATTTTAAAAAAACTAAGTTTAAGACTCCTAATTTAAATTAATTGATGCAAGTAATTTAATTCATTTATTCAACTCAATTTGTTTGACTAATGTAATAATCTTCTGAATTCAATCTATTCAAGTAAAGAAAGAGACCATTTAAACAGTTTGTCCCTTGCACACATACTATTTCTTCAGTTCAATCGGCCAAATAATTTTTGACACCTATCGAACACCTGTCAATTCATTAAACTCATTTAAATGATTTTTTTAAATTAATGCAATCAATCGAATACTTTTTTTGATATCTGTCGAACACCTGCCAATAAATTCAACTCTTGTACATAAACATATTCGAAGTAATTAATTCAATGAATCGAGTAATTTTAACACCTGTCAAACACATGCCAATTAGTTAAATTCATTTAAAGGAACACGTTCAATTTAGTGAGTTCAATCAGTCGAATATGTTTTTTGACACCTGTCCCACACCTCTCAAGGACAACGCTCTCAGCCCCCCCCCCCCCTCCCCCCTACCCTCCCCCGCACATGTTCGAGACGCATGTCCCACGGGTGTCAGGCATTAAAAAGTTTATTACATTATTCAAAGTGAATAAATTAAATTAATTTAATTAACTAAACTTATTGAATGAATTAAATGAATTCAATTAATAAAATGAATTAAATGAATTAAATGAATGAAATGATTTAAATGATTTAAATCAATTAAGTGAATTACATGAATTACATGAATTAAATGAATTAAGTCAGTTAAATGAATTCAATGAAATAAATGAATTAAGTGAATTAAATGAATTAGATCAATTAGATGAATTAGATTAATTAAATGAATTAAGTGAATTAAATGAATTTAATGAATTAAAGGAATCAAATGAATTAAAGCATGAATTAAATGAATTAAATGCATTAAATGAATTAAGTGAATTAAATGAATTAAATGAATTAAATGAATTAAATGAGTTAAATGAATTAAATGAATTAAATGAATTAAATGAATTACATGAATTAAATGGATTAAATGAATTACATTGATCAAATGAATGGAATTGATTCAATAAAAATTAAATTAAACTAATTACATTACATTTATCTATTGAATTAATTGAACTTGAACAACTCGGTCTTTGACACCTGTCAGATACCTATCGATTAATTGAACTTGAACAACTCGGCCCACTAGACCTGTCAGACACCTGTTGATGAATATATTCTAAAGACCTGCTACAACTTCAACGGACGACACCGGTCAGACAGCTGTTAAAATTCATTATGGTATGAATTTTAATAAACTGCTAGGAGCCTTCTCGCCAAATAAAACCCTTTCCAAACATCTCGTGTGCATTTTTTATTGCATCCACTACTATATTTACAGGGCTCTTCTCCTAGAAAGGACCCGATTTGAAACATTTATTTTTTAATTAGGACGGTGTATTGCAGGGCAACTATTGGTCATCTACTCCTCGGAAGACATTTGAGGCAGAGAAGCTGCTGTGAAAATGAAGCCCGTCCGTTGCGTGTTATCTTGCGGCTGTTGTCCAATCGGAACGCAGCTGCTCGTATTGCACGCTCCGGGCGCTGAGTTCAAGTATAACCGAAGACTTCAAGAGGGAGAATGACACGAGAGCGTCCGGACTCGATGACTCGGACTCGGCCAAGCCGTAAAAAAAAAGCCGGCAGTATCTATTCCCCCGTACCCGCAATGTCATGTCTTTGCTTGACTTCGAAAAGCTAAGAAAAGGCGGACCGATGTCGACTGCCCGGGGGGTCATCTGCGGATGAGCTCGCAGAACCGAAGCACCAGGCATGGAGGTTCTACGAGAAGCGGGGAGACATCAAATCGTGCAGAAGAACGACGGGAGACGACAGCCGCGCAAGCGTTTGGTCTTACCGAGGACGACCAGGCGTGACCTCAAGCTGCACGTCGTCCCAGCTGGCGGTGGCTGGCCAGCTAGACCTGTAGGATCCTTCTGACCAACAGAGCCCGACGCTCAAACACGGAAGCTAAGGGCGACTGCGGAAGCAAGAAATCGGCAAGCTACCTGTACCCGACGCCAAGCTGTCGCCGCGGCGGTTTGACGACATCTCATGTGATCGCGAGATGCAGAGTGCGAGAACCTAAGACGGAGTTGGGCACCGCTCTGATGTTGGGGCCAACGCTCCCGCGGCGAGAACGCCCTTTCTCCGGGGAGCAACGTTCTCGGGAGTATGACACCCAGACGAGGGGCTGATGTGCTGGGTGGCATCAGAGCCGCGGCGTAACGCGACCGCGACGAGGTCTTGCACACGAAGGGGGAGATCGAATTTGCAATTGTTGACGCGCCTGGGTGGCTGTCGGCCAATCGGAGGGCAGCTGCTCAGTGTAGCGCAACGCCACAGACATGGAAAACCAGCAAGGTGTTGCTCAAAGCGAAGCATTCGCAAGATTTCACAAGAGAACCATTCAGTCGTACCCCCAGCAAGCTGGGTGAGGAACAAGCGTGGAACCTGCATGAAGTAGCCTAGAACATGAATCCAAGCAGGTGAGGCGTTCAGGGACGCTTCGAATCCATGCCCAAGCCTCTTAAGCCCTGAGCGTCAGTGAACTGGGAAATGATCACATCGGCCCGAAACTTAGGCTCGAGCGTCTTTTTTTTTTGGCGAAGTGGGAGAACTCATCCGGTGAGAGTCTCTGCTTGTTCGCCATGCCCAAAGCCGTCGGCCTCTTAAGCTGCAATCTTGTGCACAACGCCAATCATGTCCCCCCTGCCTTTCTAAAGGCGGCTGGCGTCAAGAATAACGTGTCGAAGAGAAGCACGCCACGCACCTAGCGCGTTCGTGCCCTCTCTCCCAGAATCCGTTTCACAATCTCTACACACTGAAGTGCGACGGCTGCTGAACAGGAAGGTCGAGGTCGTGGTCTACAGAGGCTTCGGCGGAAACTCGACCACGTTGCAAGTGCAGCTCCTAGTTTCTTAAAGGTATTCGCTAGACAACGTGTCTCTCTCCAACTTGAGTCCCAGGTCGACCGTGAAACCAGCGTCTTCCACGTCGCAGAGAAGCTCGCCAAGGAGTGGTTCGGCAACTCGCCTGCAATTTAAGTAACAGCAGAAGCACATTCAACGCACGCTGTCGCGAGAGACCCCTTTCAAAAGGCAAAGACCGGCCCTTCAAAATCGTGTTGGCGAGTGGCGAGGATGGAAAACAAAAAGTCCGGAACTCAAGAGTGCAGCAGCAGGACGTGGCTACCGCTG